TCAGGCTAGAGATAATGAGGTAAATTTAGTCAGGGAGGATGAGGCCCACTTCTAGCAGCTGATTCGGACGTGTGAACACCAAGAGAGGAGAAACTGCTTTTGTAATTAGCTAGCCAATTACGCTGAAACTGCCAATTACAAAAGCAGGTGGGGGCTCGAGCCGGTTTCTGTGAGAGATGGACCCCTAGATATTGAACTTGGCCCTGGTTGCTGTCAGGCCTACCCAGCAGAAGGGTTACATAACATATAGCACAATTAAAAATACTCCATCTGTGCCCAGGTGATGCATTGGTGGTTCTGACAAGAAATAAATAACAAATAAATAAAAAGGTCTGAAATAGCTCTTCATTTTCTCTATAACTAGAAAACAACAAGTTCTAGCAACTTTGTATGCATGAGAAAAGAAAGATGACTGGGTGAAACTATTATCTCCATGCAGATAGAGTCATAGAATACTAGAACTGGAAGGGACCTTGAGAGGTCATCGAGTCCAGTCTCCTGCCCTCATGGCAGAACTCAGGACCATCTAGACCATCCCTGATAGATGTCTGTCTAACCTGCTTTTCAATATCTCCAGAGATGGAGATTCCACAACCTTCCTAGGCAACTTATTCTAGTATTTAACCTCTCTGACAGTTAGGAAGTTTTTCCTAGAGTGTGTCTAGACTACACCCCTCTGTCAGCAAGAGTACAGGATCTTTTTCTCCTCAGGAATACAGGATCTTTCAAAAAATCACCCCGTTGTAAAAAAAAATGCGTCTAAACTGCAGTTTCAGTTTTGAAATGGGGCTTGTTCAAAACAGCGCCATGACACAATTATGCAAATGAAGCACGGGATATTTAAATCCCCGCTTCATTTGCACTTTTGAAGTGCTTCATTTACATCCCTCTGCCGACAGATGGGTGTAGTTTAGACATAGCCCTAAGGTCCAACCTAAATCTCCTTGCTGCAGATTAAGCCCATTGCTTTTTGTCCTAGTCTCAGAGGCCAATAAGAACAATTTTTCTCCCTCGGCCTTGTAAGGGAGCCAGGAAGAGGAGTGAATGATGGAAGGACGCTGAGAAGACGTGAGTGATACAGGGATGAAGAGGTGAGTGACAGGGAATTAAGAAGTGAACACCAGAAAGCAAGTGATAGGATGAGAAGAAAGAATTAGAATCCTAGAACTGGAAGGGACCTTCAAGAGGTCATCAAGCCTAGTCCCCTGCCCTGGCAGCAGGACCAAGCACCATCTAAATCGTTCCTGGTAGATGTCTGTCCAACCTGCTCCTACATATCTCCAGGGATGGAGATCCCACAACCTCCCTAGGCAATTTATTCCAGTGCTTACCCACCCTCACAGGTAGGAAGTTTTTCCGTAATGTCTAGCCTAAATCTCCCTTGCTGCAATTTAAGCCTGTTGCTTCTTGGCCTATCCTCAGAGGCCAGGGCAAAAAATTGTTTTCCCTCCTCTGTGTAACACCCTTTTAGGTATTTGAAAACTGCTGTCATGTCCCCTCTGTCTTTTCCAACCTGGACAAACCCAATTCTTTCAGTCTTCTCTTAGCTCATAGTTTCTAGACTTTTCATCATACTTGCTCTTCTTTGAACCTTCTCCAATTTCTCCACATTTCTTGAACTGTGGTGCCCAGAACTAGACACAGTACTCCAGCTGAGCCCTAATCAGTCAAGAGTAGAGTGGATATAAAACTGTATCAATTCATATTTGAATGGAAATATATTTGGAAGGAACATGCTTGTCTGAAAAAAGTAAAATCTATTAATGCACACTGGTGACAAGAAGACCTTGTCAGTTACTTAATTTTGCACTTTTAGTAAGTAAGGCTATTGCATGATACTATGTAATTCATGTATTTTGATAAATGATACTTGTGTCACTTAATAGCACGTTAGTAAATGAAAAATATGATGTTTTTTGTAAAAGAAATGCAGTTTGGTCATAAATCCTCACTAGAGGACCTCCTATTCATCCTGTGCTGAAAAGGGGGAATATATTTATGTTCATATTACAGTAGACTTCCGATAATCTGGACTCTATGGTGCCGGATTATCAGATATGCCGGACTATCAGAAGGTACTATAAAATGGTTATATTTACTGTATACATTATATACTATATATAAAGTGTTCTTAACCCTTTTTATTGTACATACTGAATACAGTATACTGTAATGTTTTAGTTTTTTTAAGCCTTTTTTACCCTTTTTGCTCAGTTCAGCTGCTGCCACTGTTACCTTGTGACTTATTTTTTGCTGAAGCTCACTCACTAGGCTCTTGCCATTTTGATGCCGGACTATCAGGAGTTCTGGACTATTGGATGCCAGACTATTGGAATTTTACTGTATTATGTGTATTAGCAAATTTCCCCACTATATATTTTCCTCTTGAGTCACTGTAGTGTTTTGTCAATGTATAGTGTTTTGGGACCATTAAGAATTAGGAATAGCAAACATTTTTATGATTTTCTAAATTCTGTTGACGTTCTGAAATTAAAAAGAAAATCAGGAACATTTTTGACTAAAGTTTTATAGTTTTTCCCCACCACCAGTTTTTAAGCAAACATAGTGCTGGGGTTATTTTTAATCTTGTCTTTTAATGAAATTACACATTTCAAAGAAAAATGGGGAGAAATTTTCACAGCATTTTTTTATGAAAGTTTCCCTTTTTCCTCCCACCAACACTTGTATGAGTAAATAAACTACTGCCCCCTTTAGGATGTGAAGATGCAATGTATACACTCTGCCTAATTTTAAAAAAAATTATATAATAGGTCAACACTCATCAAATCATATTTTTTTCTTTTTTACTGTCATTTGTTATAGATTATTTGCTTGGCTAAGAAACATAATCTCATGTATTAGAGCATCTGAGGGACTGTTCCGTTGAATTATTGGGTATGAGGCTGGGGAGGGAAACAGTAGGAGTCATTTGTGAAAAAGCAATAAATATACAAAAGTTTCTAATTCGAAGCCAAAGAAACATTATCTCACCAAAAAGTGAATTTTTCTTGGATGGGAAGAACAAAGGAAAGTTCCTGCACCCAAAGAATCACTTACTATTTTTCTAGGTGGTTCACTAGATTCCATGCATAGCATGCTTACAATTTTTCATTTTATGAAAAGAACCTGAAGGTGGCACTCTGTAATCATTTTTTCTTAAAATGAATATATTCAAGTTTATAAACTGTTTTCACGCTGAAATCCTTTACTTGCAGTTTCTTCTCATCACATTCTGCATTATTTTTACCATCTTCATTATATATATTCTTGTATTCCAAGTTCTGCTCTACAAATCCCTTTTCCACTAAAATCAAAGGGTATTCCATGCTTAGAGAGCTTTCTGATTCAGGCTATTTCTATTCTTTTTCCCATAATATGATCACATGTAACTGTATTTTTATTAAGGGTATGACTACGTAGCAACTAGACATATGTGGCAGGCCCCTACCAGACAACTCAGGCTGTGGAGCTGTTTCATTGCCGTGTAGATTTTCAGACTTGGGCTGGAGTCATGGCTGGGACCTTTTTACACCTCACAGCGTCTTAGAGCCCAAGTTCCACACTGAGCCTGGAAGTCTACATAGCAATAAAATAGCTTCACAGCCTAAGTCCCATAAGACTGAGTTTGCTGGCCTGGGCTAGCCATGGGTTTCTAGTTGCTTCATAAACATATCCTAAATCAGTGGTTCTTAGCCAGGATTATATGTACTCCTGGTAGTACACAGAGGTCTACCAGGAGGTAGTATATGAACTCATCTAGATATTTGCCTAATTTTACAACAGGCTATGTAAAAAGCACTAGCAAAATGAGAACAAACTAACATTTCATAAAGGCATTAATCTTGTTTATACAGCTTTCTCTATATATTACACACTGAAATTTAAGTACAATATTTATATTCCATTTGATTTATAATTATATGGTAAAATAAGAAAGCAAGCTATTTTTCATTAATAGTATGGTGGAACACTTTTGTATTTTTATGTCTGATTTTGTAAGTAACTAGTTTTTAAGCGAGGCGAAACTTGGAATAGACAAGACAGGGCACAGTAGTCTGATTGAGAGCCACTGCCTTAAATCTATGATTTGGCAAGCTACTGAAATCAGTTGGACTACACATATGCCTAGTTAAACATTTTGTTGAATTAGTCCTTAAATGTTGTTGGGATGTCAATTATCTATTGTATTTATAAAAAAGTTTAGAAGGAAGAAAGCCAATTTGATTTGATTTCTTAACCTCTATTTAATATGCCATATGAATTTAGTTATCGCAAAGGGCTGACTGGCTGGCTGGCTGGCTGGAGTGAGTGACCTGGGCACACGCCTAGGGCACCATGGTCAGTGAGGCACCATCTGAGTACTGCAAGTTGGTGGATTTGGGCTGCAGGAGTAGAGGTGAATATGGGCAAGCCCCGTGCTCGAGAGCAAGCAGAGGCCAGATGATGTTGCCCCAAGATGCCAGCTTGGCATAAGTGTTTATCTCTACATAGTTAGCATGCCAGCTCCTATGCCCCCCTTTCTCATGGGCATAGTGGTCATCATGGCGTGTATTGCTAGGGGAGCCACCAGGATCAGCCCTGGGCACCTGGACACCACCTGCCACTTTCAGATGCTCAGCTCTGAAGGCAGTGTTGCTGCCAGCCGCTGTGCAGATGTAATGGTGGTATAACACCATATCTCATTTTTGCACTGCTGCTGTGATCACAGAGCTGCATTCTGAGCAGGGTGCCTAGTCAGCCAGCATATTATTTTTCATGGGGCTTTTTGGTGCTGACCTTAGTATTTCTTTCATTACAAATTAAGCACTGAGAGGAGCCCACAGAGGTTAGGGGCAATGAGAGCTTCTGCCAGAGGAACTTGCTGGGGTCAAAGGCACCAAATACAAGTTTGCCCAGGGTGCTGTTTTCCCTAAGGCCAGTTCTCACTGTCATTAACTTTTTCCTTGTTTGCCCTTTAATTAAATATTTAAATAATTGTATCAATCTGTCTATTTTAAAAGGAAGAAGTTCTCACAGAAGAACAATTTTTCTGAGTTTTCATCATATGATAAGATGATTCAAGCAAAACGAGCTGAGGCGTTGAGATTGGCCATGCAAAAGGAAATGAAAGAGACACAGACATTTATTGAACAACACAGAAAGTAAGTATTATGTTTATGTTGCTTAATGACAATGCTTTTTTTTAAAAAAAAAATGTTCAGCTGTTCTTAATACTTGTAACTTTTTTCTCTTCACAAATCACCCATTTTACCATTTGTAAAGAAAGAAAATCATTACAAATTATCTGTATTATGAATAAAAATGCAAGGAGTACTTTCCTTCACAAATCACAGTGCTCCTATGAGACAGGAGTATGAACTATTGAATTTCTCATTAAGAAATTCAGTATTTCTTGTTCCTATGCAGTGAGGAAAATGTTCCCTTTCACTATTCCTTATTTCATATGATACATTATAGAAGTATTTAAATAACATTTTTTAAATCTTTACTAACTGAGGGTATGTCTACACTACAGCGCTAATTCGAACTAACTTAGTTCGAATTAGTTAATTCGAACTAAGCTAATTCGAACTAACGCGTCTAGAACTAAAAACTAGTTCGAATTAGCATTTTGCTAATTCGAACTAGCACGTCCACACTGATTGGACGCAGGGGGGCATTTAAGGGCAGCTGAAACCGGTTCTGGCAGGGCATCAGGTCAGTAGTTCGAACTAACGCGTCTAGAACTAAAAACTAGTTCGAATTAGCATTTTGCTAATTCGAACTAGCATGTCCACATTAAGTGGACCCTGAACCGGGTTTAAGGATGGCCGGAAGCAGTGCCGGCAGGGCATCAGAGGAGGACTTAGAGCGTGGAGATGCTGTCTCAGGCTAGCCGAGGGCTGCGCTTAAAGGGTCCCGACCCCCACCCTGGACAGACAGTTCTAAGGGGTGCCCCGCTTGCAAAGCAGTCCTGGCTTGGAGTGCCCGGAGTACCCACACTGGGCACATCACACCACTCGGCCATCAGCCCGGCTGCACTTGCCGCAGGCTGCCATCTGGGGGCAGGAGAGCTTCCACCCCCAGAAGCCCACAGAGCCAGCCCAGTCCTCCCCATCGGGGGGTCGTGCCCCATTCCTCCCTCACCTCCTTCCACTTACCCTTCCCTAGCCCCTTTTCTTGATGTACAAAATAAAGGACAATTGTGTTCAAAAATGGAATCTGTCTTTATTGAACAAAACTGGGGGAGACTAGGAAAAGGAGGTGGGAGAGGGGAAGAGAGAGGCAGGGAGAGGGGAGGGCAACTAAAATGATCAGGGGTTGGGAACAGGTCCCATATGAAGAGAGGCTAA